CCAACCCTGCTGTGGTTACTAGACCATGGCCTTTTGTTTACCAGGACTCTATATAAATTGTTTTTCTGTGTCATGTTTACTCTCATTAAGTAAATTTTAAAGATTAATTTTTTTTCCCCACGACATTTGGTGTTTTGGTGTTGGATTCTGTCTTTATTTTTTTAAAAAAGAAAATTTTTTACTTGTTGCAATTTGGATATTGTTAATGATCATCCAATGGATTATTTTTGTTGTTTGTAATAGGAAAATAAATAAGGAAGAGGCTTCCCAGAGGTAGGCCTGTCTTAAAAACCTGTTTTTCACACACACAAAGAACAGTTGAGGTTGAAAAGGACCTCTGGAGACCATCTTGACCAACTTCTCTGCTCAAAGCAGTTCAACTACAGCAGGTTGTTCCAGACATCCTCTAGTTGGGTTTTGATTATATCCAAGGATATTTGATTCCACAGGACCTCTGAGTAACCTGTTCCAGTCTTGACCATCCTGAATGAAAAAAAGGAGTTACATTAAATTGAATTTCTTGTAATCCAGTTTGTGCCCACAGCCTCTGATCTGTTTACTGGATAAGATTGAGAAGAGCCTGCATCTTTCTTTTTTTATCCTTTCCTACCAGGCATTTAGTTTCATTTGAATTATTCTCTAAAGATGACGGTAATGTCAACAAAATGAAGAAATTATGAGGAATTTTTACTCATGTAAATTGTCTGGATTCCTCTAGCTGGCATTCAGATTGTAAGAGTTAGCTTTTTCTCCTCTATTTGATTTTTTCTTTTAGTCTTATTTTGGCTGTCAAAATGGGTATGTCAATCATTACTCTGCAAAAGAAATACTAGATCAAATGAATGTTTTCTTATTCTCTTGAGAAATGTGATTTAACTATTTTGTTCAAATCCTGGCTTTGGTCTTATGATTTGTGCCTTCTGCTGTCATCCTCTATGCCCAATATACACAGCCAAATCAACTGATCATATACCTTTTGTCATCTTTCTTTATCATTATGGTTCATCAAAAATTCCCACTGAAGTAATTTCCTCAGGGAAAAAAATGTGATTTGAGAAAATGGAGACATTTATTGGAAAATTTTGCTTCCATTGAAGCTAATAGGAGCTATGCTGGCTGTTCTGTTGGCTTGCACCTGAACAGTTGCCAAGGAACCAACTGATGTGATCTGTAGATGGCAATGTCATCATTGAGCAGGCTGTCTACCTGCTCAAGTCACAGAAAGAAATTTCTCATTTTTGCAGGAATTCTCTACTGAGCAGGAAATCTGAAGTTCAATAAAGTGTAGTTTTATATACGTTGTTTTGCATATGGGACAATTTATATGGATTTTCATTCACAAACCACAAGGTCTTTAATGGTTTCTGTAACTTTATAGATAGTAATCAGTCAATAAATTAACTTGATCATCTTAGATATATTGCTTCACACTAATAAAACTATCTGCTGCTGTGATTGAAGGTGTTGTTTTTGACATGTGGTATCAAAGCTTTAAAATATGTTGGAGGCTTTGTATCTTCCTGGTGTTTATCTGCCTCTTGGTCTTCTCCCTCTTCCAGGCTGAGGAGTACAATTTTTAAAGTCTTTCATCTGGGTCAGGTTCTTCACACTTTTTTTGCACTAACTTCACAAAGACTCTCAATTTTATGCCTTTTTTTTTTGGTTGTTTCTATTTTAGTTTGCAGTCCTGTTGTGGTATGCTGTCTTATTATAAACAAATAGCTGCTACACTTAATTAATTTAAAGGTCAGCAGTGTTTGTGTACTACCACTCATTACACTCTTTATCTTGTGTATTGTGTCTACGAGAAAGCCTCACATTTAGTGTATACCTTGATTTATACTTACTTTATAAGTAATTTATAAAGGTAATACAAGTTTATAAGGAGATTTCTTCTGTTGCAGTCTTTAGGCTGCTTAAGACCATTTGCCCTTGTATCCTTCCTACAATCTTTTTCTGATTAGGCTTTCCAAATAAATGTCCATCTTTATGTGCCTAGGCTGTTTAGTTTCATCCTGTATGACGATGTATGTAAGATTTTTAAATTTTAATTCTGTATTTCTTCTGCTGCCTTTGGTCTGTGAGCCTGTTTTTCTCCATGTTCAGCTGATCATCACGAACTTTAGGTGTGTTTTCAGCAGCACTAAGCTGCTTAATCTCAGAAACAGCCCTTAGCAAAGCTTAGTTGAGTCTGTTTGTGTGGTTGATAAAGCAGTTGTCATGACCTTCGTGTCTTTTTGTCTGTGAATAGTCTGGTGTACAGGATCTGCTGTGTCATTTATCAAGATTGCTCCACATGGAAGTGTGCTTCTGTCTGAACTTTGAATCATTTAAGCAGATCTGTGAGGAGAACTTTATTGTCAGCTGTCTGAGTAATCATTTCAAAATTCATGCAGCTCCTTAGGTCACTTTAAAAAAATTTTTTTTTAGAGTGTCTTCCTCAGTGTCCAAAATACTTTTTTTTTCCCCAAATAGTGTTAGGCAGCACCTGCAACTCCCTAATTAGCTAATTCTTTCTGCTGTAGTTATTTCCATTCAAAAATAAGTACTCCACTATTTATTGATGCTGATTTGAATTCTGAGATCTATGTGGTAGTAAGGAATGAGCCATACAGGATCCTTTCAAGAAGAATATTTGTTCAAGCCATTCCTTTGGATCAGTACACAGCCTCCTTCAGCTTTTATGGGTCTTTACCAAGTTCTTGAAATGTTTTATCTCATAGGAAAAGAATTGGTTTAGATATATATCTCTCTAATCCTACTACAAATTCCTACTGAAGGATGTGAACATCTTTTGTGCAAACACCACCAGTCCCAAACTAATTGCTAACACAGACTATCCCTTCCTAGGAATGATTTAAATTCCAAATTGAGAAATGTTCACCTGCCTCAAGTGAAAAAAATAGTTGAAAATCTTGCAGAAATTTCACATGTGTTCTTGAAGACATGCCAGACATGAAGACATGCCAGACAATTTGGCCAGATATTTACTGACTAATCTCTCTGATTTATGAAGTGAATGAATACTGAAATAACCTTCTTACTGTTCTGGACTCTGGACTTACCATCAAGCACAGGCATACGGACAGCATGATAGCCCTCTCAAGCCTTCGGTTTGCTGGACTGAATAGACTGTCAATCTACTGATCACCTGTATTTGACATACCTGCTGCTCATCCGGAGTCAGGAGCTCATCTTTCCGGATGTGAATGATGATAATAACATGCAGTTTACATTTCTTTTTAGGTCCCATCAGCTCCTTGTACAATAAGTCTGAAATTTCTGCATGATTGATGCAAACTTCTTAAGTATTTTCTTTATCTTCCAATCTTCCAGCCTCTTTTTCTGAGGCTCAGTATTTCATGCCAAGCCAAACTTTGCCAAAGTTGCTAAACCTGCAGCTTCCTTTTTTTCAGTTTAAACCTGGTAAGACTGAGTTTAGGGGAAGCCCCAGAATATTACATTGCATTTTGCAGAAGACAACTGCCAACTGTACCAACACCATGCAAATGAGATGCAGAGTGTGTGTGGTTCTGGTATGTCCTAGCAAAGACTGAGTATCATTCTTAGAACCAGAGGCAGTTTTTTCTACCCAGGATAAACTGTCCTTGAGCAAGTCTGTGAAGGCAACAAGCTGTAATTTGTTCAGTGACTTTGCATATCTTGGTTTGCAACTGCAGATGAAGTGAAATTTAGTAGGATTTGCTTTCAGTCAATATTTAAGTAAAACGTTCATTACTTATCAGAACAGATGGCATTGCTGTTTGAGGTATGTGGTTCATGAAGACTGGAAAATCTGTTTTGCATCCCTTAAAAAGAACTCAAAATACTCCTCTATGGATTTTATTTTAGCAAATGTGCTCAAGAGGATTGCCAGCTGCATCCTGGACTGCATCAAAAGCAGCATGGCTAGCAGATCAAGGAAGGTGATCCTGCCCCTCTGCACCACTCTTGTGAGACCCACACTGTGTCCTGCTCTGGGGACCCCAACATAAGCACATAGTCCTGTTGGAGCAAGTCCAGAGGAGGGCCACCAAGGTGATCAGGGGTCTGGAGCACCTCTCCAAGAGAACTAGCTGAGATCCTTGAGGTTGCTCAGTCTGGAGAAGAGAAGGTTCTGGAGAGACCTTATAGCACCTTCCTGTGCCTAAAGGGGCTACAAGAAAGCTAGAGAGGAACGTTTGTCAAGGGCATGGAGTGATAGGACAAGGGGAAATGGCTTCAAACTGTCTGAGGGCAGGTTTGGTTTAGATATTAGTAAGAAATTCTTGACTGGGGGGGTGCTGTGGCACAGGTTGCGCAGAGAAGCTGTGCTAGTCCCATCCCTGGGAGTGTTCAAGGCCAGGCTGGATGGGGCTTCAAGCAACCTGGTCTAGTGGAAGGTGTCCCTGCCCATGTCAGGGAGTTGGAAGGAGATGATCTTTAAGGCCCTACCAACTTAAACTATTCTGTGATTCTGTACACACGTTGTCCTTTATCTGTGGGTTCTGATGACTGTGAATTCTCTTAAACTTAAGTTGCTTTGCTGTTATGAGAGAATGTGCTCTCTTGTGCATGTGCTGAATGAAATCCCCATAGACTGAGTGTGTGGAAAATCACATTTTAGTTCTGTGAACTGTTCCTTAAGAAAGCAATATAATATCCTTTATATTTAGGTTTTTTTAAAAAAATAGGAGGCTGCAGTATGAATTAGAAGAGCCATGTAATTAATTAAAGTTTTTTTGGTTGAAATAATCTATCTGAGATTCCTTTTGGTGTCATTTTCATGGCTGGGTTTATTTTTCAGAGAAATGGACTCCTTATCATTGTTGGTTTAGTTTAAATATAATTGTCTGGGGTTAGTGTCTGATATTGAGCTGGTTAATGTAAGACTAAATGTGCAGATCTAAATCAGATTGCTCAGTTATGAAATATTGTGCAGCACAGGAGTATGCAGTTAAGATATTATCTTTCTGTAATCCTTTATTTGCTTTCTCCTCGTTCCCTTTCAATTTTTACAGGAAGACATCTACATGTATGGAGGCAAAATTGAAACAAATAATGGCAACGTTACTGATGAGCTGTGGATTTTCAACATACACAGTCAAACCTGGAGTACCAGAGTTCCTGCAGTACTTGTGCATGGCCAGCAATATGCTGTGGAAGGTCATTCAGCACACATAGTAGAGCTGGACAGCAGAGATGTGGTTATGATTATAATTTTTGGATATTCTTCCATATATGGCTACACAAGCATTGTGCAAGAATACTACATCAGTAAGTCACTTTCAAATAATTTTTGTCATGTATAGGTAAAAAAGTCCCAATTTTTGTTTTTTAAATTGAACATAACTCCTGTTTTCAGAAAGGAAAATACATATTTTGCAAGATAAATAAAGCCGCATTTTTTTTTCCTTCAAATTAGTTTGACCAGGTTTCTTGTTAAGCATTAGAATTTCATACATGTCTTGAAGCACAATGAGTTTTCCTGTGTGTTATTGTGTACGTGGTTCTGATACTCTAGTAATCAGGCATTGGAATGTGCTGCCCAGGGAGGTGTTCGATTCACCATCCCTGGAGGTTTTTAAGATGTGACTGGATGTGACATTTAGTGCCATGGTCTAGTAACCACAGTAGGGTTGGACTTGATGATCATGGAGGTCTTTTCCAGCCTGGTTGAGTCTGTTAAAATGTACACTTTCTGATAAATTTTTAGGAATATTTATATGCCCAGTAATTAAAATTATAATCTACTTTTTTCATTTTGCTTTTCTATAGAATTGTTCTAAGCTTCTCAGTTATTTATGCAATCACAGACTGCATAATATGAAATCTCAAAGTAATATGTGCTAAAGCGTAACAGTTGCTTTTAATTGTTCTATTTAACTTCTTTTTTCATGTATGCATTTTATATAAACACTGTTAAAGCAGATTTATAGAAGGAAAATCCCTTCAGAACTTAAAAGGTTTTTATTCTTCCTGGTCTTATCTCTGATGACAATGTTGAAATTTATCCTTTTTCAACTCTGTTATAAAAAGAGAGTGGAAATAAGAGGAAGAACACCATGATGTGCTTTATCCATGCTGAAAAGTTTCAGTTGAACCGCATAAAACTACTATAAAACCCTGGTCTTAGAATGACGTTGCAGAGCAGTTTTGTACGTTTTGTTGAGCATTCAAGACAATTTTTTGATAAACTTAATTTTAGAAGGTTGATTTTTTTAAATTTTTTTTTTTTTTAACCTACCAGGGAGGACTTGTTGTTCTAGTTTCCTGCAGGCTCATTTACTGTAATGTCTATTGCAACTTTGAATTATTTGCTTCTTCACATGCTGCATATTTAGTATGGAGTAGAAGTAGCCATTTTATCCTCACCTATTATTGTGGTTAGTTTAATTATGAAGAGGGGAACACGATTTGTAGTGTTAAATTTTCTGCCTGGCTGATTTTATGGATGGCCTTATGGTTGAAATGGACAACTTGTTTCTATTTTAATTTAATTTTTTTTTAGATGTTACAGCTACGTTTGTGCAGGATTAATAAAACAGACTATAACTAAACATATATAACACAAACAAAGAAAAAAACCCCAAACCTTTCCTGCTATGGTGATGAGCTTTGAGTAAGAGAAAGCACTTCTCTCTTAGTTATGGTTCTAAATTATTCTCAAGTGTTTGTGTCCTTTTTTGAGATTATGTACTAGTGAGAAATCTAGCTTGTTAAAGAAAATATCCTTCACTTGCATCAAATGTGAAGTAAACTTGTAACAATATAGGGTATTACTGTGGAAACCCATTGATTTCAGTGAGTCTACTGATGTGATAAACGACTGACCATTGGGGCATGCAGGGCTTGGCAGAACATGGTCTATATGCTGTAACTGAACCACTTCTGCTGTGGATAATTCTCAGGTTTCATTTTACCTCACTGCATCTGCCTCCTTTCCCTCCTCTCTAAGTTAAAAGCATTTTGTGGTAAATTTTCCTGAATTCTGTGTCAGCTGTAGCATTTATCTACAGTCTTGCAGCTGTAGGAACATTTTTAACCATAAAATTCCAGATGGTGGTTTGAACTAAGAATGACTATTTTTGGGGGGATTTTAGCTGTTCAGAATCCAAACTTAAAAGACATAGGAAGTAATAGAAGTATTGCTGTGAACCCACCTGAATAGGAAAGAAAATTTCTTATAAGTAAGAGCTTCTGACGTTATGGAAAGAAAAATAAGAACTCAATTTTCTTTCTCTGCTTGCTTTAAAAACATATGTTACCTTAACATTTGAAATTGTACTGCTTTATTCTGGCTAAGTGTTATCAGCCATGGCTTTTAGTCCTAATGAAGGCTATTTTTTCAAGCATTTACCACATGCCTACTGAAAGAAAGAGACACAGAAAGAGGTAGCTTACCCTGTCGTAGGAGCTGAATCCTCTAGTGTTCCAGTTCTTTTGATGAACTTTGAACTTTATGGAATTCTGGTGCCAAAGCCTTCTTTAGGCACTGTGACCCTGACTTCCATGGGGTCTACGTTAACACCTAAAATTTTAACTGTTGGTGGATTCCCTATCTTTTCACATTAGGTATGTAGTTCTTGTTAACAAAACATGTCAATCAAATATGCACATGATATGAAAATTGCTCTGATATCTGATTAGGGAAGAAAATTATTTCTATTAAAGTCAAAATCTGGAATAATTGGACATGGTTTGCAGGCAGATTTTCACCATGTGAAAGCACGTGAATTTATTTCTACTCCAAAGTTATGGAGGTTGTTGCAGGAACAAAAGAGCTTCCTGATGTCCTTCCTTGCTATACCTAGACTTACGACTTTGGAGGAACCAGTAAATCCTGGTATGGGAATTATGTGAATGATTTTACTAACTTGAACCATAAAACTTTTCTGGGTTACTCCCCAGGGCAATTTATTTCCCTTTAGGTTAACAATACCTCATAAACCTTCTAAGAATCTCAATGTGAGTCTCAAGGTGAATATAATAATGGTGTTTTGTTTTTGCTGAGGTTTATAAAAGCTCCTTATATATTAAGAGACTTCTGAATAAGTCTTTGATTTTATTTCTTTGCAAGACAGATTTCTTTGGATTAGAAGAATATCACTTTGTTTTTTAGACGGAATTTTTTAATGACTTTAGAAAGTAGGTTAGAGATTGCTTTTTGATTAAAAATCCTTATTTGAAATAGGGTAAAAAGAAACAACCCCATGATGGGTAACGTGTTTCCTCTTTTTTAAAAGCTACCATAAGCTTCATGGTTGCTTGAAAAATGTTCAGGTTTGTCACTGTGATGATATGAAGATGGCACACTAAGGTGCTTCTTGGGATATTTTCTTTTTACCTGCTTTGAAGGTGTTGTTGTGGTATGGACAGATAAGGTCAATGCATCTACCTGTCCTTGGATTTTTACTGGATTCATTGATGCATATTATTTTTTATCAAACCTCTTTCTTAGAAACAATTTATCTCAAAAATTTATTTTAGTTTTTGTGTTTTAAATGATAAAGTTATTATTGCTCAAATTTTCAGTTTTCCTTGATTTGGCAATCCTGAACAGTTTCTACAAAGACATGAAGTGAGGAAAAAAAATAAGCTTTTATCTCTTATTTAATTTGTTTTACGTTCTTTGTTGATAGAATGGTGTTACACTTTTGGGTGTGATTAACTTCTTGCAAGCAGAAGTCTGGAATTTATCACCTTGGCCTTTAAAATAAGTGTTGTGGGGTTTTTTAGAAATCTAAATACGATATTTTGTAATTTGCTTCAAAAATACATAGGACTAATCTTGAAACAGTTCAGGTTTTGTACACAGTGTCATTGGAAAATTGGTCATAATTTTAGTGACTAGGCATATTGTGATTGATAGCCCACCTTTATCAATGGCCTATTTTATAGTCACTTGTTAAATGTAAGCAGCTCATCTCCCCTCCTGGAATTCTCTTTGAATTATATTTGTAGATCAAATCCTCCCTTTTGCAAGACTAAGCCAACCTCATTGATTCCACTCTCATTCTGCTAGTTCAACTCTGTACCTTTTCACAAGGAGTTCATCTCTCTTGAATATGGATGATTAGGAAAGTGTTTTGGATATTTTAGGTGCTATTTCACCAGTGCTTAATCCTACATTATTTGGAACACCTCAGTTGGTGTGTAGTAAAATGCCATTTGTACTGGATCCGTGAGGAAGTTGTTAATGGCTCAGACTTTCTCTGATGAAGCAGTGCTCCTGCTCATTCTTCAGTCATTATCAGCTGATGAGCTTCCATTGTATAGATGTTTTCTTGCTAATGCCAGTGCACAATACCTTTAGTTATTGTGAAATTTTGAACAGTTTCTTTCCAGTAGCCAAGATCATACAGTTCATCCAGCATGTTTTTCTACTGCTTCTGTGAATCAGGAGAGTCTAAATTTATGCAATTATTACTCCTTAAATTTGTGACTGTGTCAGAAAATGCACCAATTCTGATCCTTAAGTCTGCCTAGTAGTCTCAGCACCTCTCAACATTGTTCATTGCTGTTCATTGTTTGATGCCCATATCCAATTCCATCATAACGATTTACTTGCTTATTTCACAGTGCAGCAGTATAGTAAGAACTTTACAGAAGCCCAAATACTGAGAGCACCTACTCTTCCTTCTGTAGATAATTTTTTTTAGGTAAAGGTGATGTGATGGATTGGCACATTTATATTGTCTAGTGAAACAGTTTCCCATTGTTTCAACTTTTTTCATTTATCCTTTTTAACAAAACTTTGTTCTAAACCTTTGCATATTGCCAAAGTAAGATTAAGGTCTGTAATTGTCCAAACCTTGTCTCTCCTCCCTCTGGTTTTACTGTCAGCACTATGGTTGCTGTTCATTGGCAATATCTGACCACCTTTCTTTAAAATTCTTGCTGCTAGGCCTGCGGTTTCACTTGCTGTACCTGTCAGACCTTTGGAATAGTCATATCTCCAGCTTCAGTTCATTCCACTAACAAGTTTAGCTTCTATTTCAGCTGCAGTTTCCTCTTTTGTTTACATGTTTTTGTAGATGCCTTTTTTTCTTTTCTTTCTTTCACTTGGTCAGTCTCCTGGAAATGATTGTGTTAAAGCTGGACACAAAGTGTGGCATTTTGATGGACAAAGATAATCAGAGTATTGCAACCTATATTGTGTCCAGTGGTTTATCATCTGACAAATTTAATTATCAGAAGTTGTCATGATTTGCCTATGCATTTCAAGGGTGACTTTTTGTGGTAGAATTCTCTGTAAAATTGCTCAGATATTGATGAAAAATATCAAATTACAAATGAGAAGTAGAAGCCCCTATTACTAGATTTTCATGATTGTTTTCTAAATTCATTTGACCTTACTTTTACACTATCAAGCTTAAAACTTAAATGTGAAAATAAATAAAAGCCCTATTTCATCATTACTGCCTTCTTTATTCATGGAGCTCTTTCTGTATTTGACTTTATAAGCTGTTGATGATGCAGAGTTTCACATGACTGATTTTGTCAATCAAGTACTTTATGATATAATGATGGAGAGAGTGGGAGCTCTTTGAATATGAGAACAGTTATGTAAATACCTTGAGCAATTTTAGAATGGGAAATAGAAGGAGAAACTCTAATACTGCTTTTGACTTTGATTTCACAAAGATGTTGCTGGACCTTTTAAAGTCAAATTTAGGTACTTATTCATACCACATGGTTTTTATTAAGCAAGAAGGAACAGCACTTCATATTTCTATGCAGGTCATGTAAAGTTATGCAATATTCAACATTAGTGTTCTAAATGCTGCATAGAGTCACAGACTCACTTAGGTTGGAAAAGGCCTTTAAGATCATCAAGTCTGACCGTTGCTGCATGCATAAACCAGAATGCTGCATAAATGCTGTGTAAACAAACCTGTGAGATATAAATGCAGACTATTCTGTTGTGCATATTATCAACAGCATTGTGTAAATTTATGTGGAGAAGTAATTATTATCTCTAAAAAGTATCTATATGAATCTTTAGGGCTGATGGTTATTTAAATGAAAAATGAGGATGGTGTTGGCAATAGAAAGTTGCAGGCTGACTCCTCACCAAGCCTCTTGCATAAATTGTAACATCTAAATCTATTTGTTATCAAAGTAATAAGTATGCAAAATATGGTGTTATTGACAAATTTGATCATAGAATCAGCTGGGTTGGAAGAGACCTCAAGGATCATGGAGTCCAACCTTACCACTGTAACTAGACCATGGCACTCAGTGCCACATCCAGTCTCATCCTGAAAACCTCCAGGGATGGTGGATCCACCACCTCCCTGGGCAGCACATTCCAATGCCTGATCACTCTCTCTGTAAAAAATCTCTTCCCAATATCCAACCTAACCCTCCCCTGGCAGAGCTTGAGTCTGTGTCCTCTTGTCCTGCTGCTGGTTGCCTGGGAGAAGAGACCAACCCCCACCTGACTCCAACCTCCTGTCAGGGAGTTGCAGAGGGTGATAAGGTCTCCCCTGAGCCTCCTCTTCTCCAGGCTGAACACCCCCAGCTCCCTCAGCCTCTCCTCATGGCACTTGTGCTCGAGTCCCTTCACCAGCCTCTTTGCTCTTCTCTGGACCTGCTCCAGCACCTCAATATCTCTCCTGATCTGAGGGGCCCAGAATGTTTGTGATGTTTGTGTTTGTGTTCAGATTTGCACTTCTTAATAGCTTGGTTATATCCAACATAGAGATCAGAGTAAAATACTAGTTATATTACACTACACACAAATAATGTAAATAATTGTCAGATGCAATTGGTGTATTACACAAATATCAGCATTCATACACACAGAAATCAGCATGATTTTGCCATATAGTTTATACTTTATACCTTGCTGCAAGCACTTGTTACTGAGAAATATGTAACTTATTGAGGCAGTGCCTGAAAACCATATAATGAAAGTGGAAGAGCAGCAGTAATAACTGAAAGTCATGAGTTTCTTCACCGCAGAGGAGAATCTGGAGGAACAAGAGGTAATCTGAAGCTGCCTACGTAATATCAGATAAAAATTGAAATGGAATTCAAGCTGAGTTTCAGATGAAGCAAGATGTATGGTGTTGTGTGCTAGCCTTGGATAAATAACCTTATAATGGCAGCCAATTTAGGTTAAGAATTAGGAGACTGATGCATTTTGAATGTCCTTGTCCATACTTTTCCTTTGTCTGACATAATCTATAAGAGGCTGTAAGTGAATTATTTCTGCCATTTCACATCCATAGAACTGCCCTGAAATGTCATAGGCTCTTTGGTCTAAGCTGCCTCCTACAGGAAATACCTCCTGGCTTAATCTTTCTGAAACTTATATGATCATCTGGGAAGATGAAGGGGGGGAAGAAAAGGGACATTCAAGGGCTACAGGCAGCAAGAACTCATTTAACATGGGTTGTTTTTTTTTTCCTATGGCAAAATATTTTCCAGTTGTGTTTTATTCTTCAATCATAACAGCTATAGTTGGATGGGTTTATTTTGTGTCTCTTTTCAGTTATTAATGATGTGATGTAAAAGATGGATTCAAGCATCAGTTTAATGAGCTGCTATTGGATTATTCTTCTGTGAGTTTTCAGTAGCTGAATAGGTATCTTTGCAGTTAAATAACTAAGAAACAGTAGTTGGAAACTGATTTTTAGCTCAATAATTTTACAGTTACTACCAAAGTGTCTGCTCATATCCATGCATAGTTTGAGTTACCTCATTTTACGTGCTTCTCATGGCTCACAGCAGTACAGTTCCTGCCAGGCTTCTCCAGACTCCCCATGACTGAGCACAGGTGTTCCTAATGCATCTGAAGTAGCTGGAACACTGAATTCTCATCAGCCATCTCTGGTGAGAATTAATCATTACTCCTAATTTCGTATTTTCAAAAAGCTTTGGGCTTTTTTTTTGTGCTGTTGTTGTTTAGTGTGAGTTCTGAGCTCACACATGAGAGAGTGTGAGATACTCCCTGGCAGCTGCAATGACAATGTATTTGTGATTTAATTAAGAGCAGCAGATAATAGTCTAACAGCATTACCCAACTGCAGATATTTTGATAACTGGTATAAAATTACTTGTTGAAACAAGTCCCTAGTTATTGCTGTATTTAGAATTAGAATGGAAAATGTTTTATATAGTTAAAACTCTAAAAAAATAAAAACCAATGTGTTTTTTGCATCTCTTCCAGGATCTAATTCTTGGCTTGTACCAGAAACAAAAGGAGCAATTGTGCAAGGTGGATATGGCCATACCAGTGTCTATGACGAACTGACAAAATCTATTTATGTTCATGGTGGATACAAAGCATTACCTGGCAATAAATATGGACTGGTGGATGATCTTTACAGATATGAAGTTAATACTCGGACATGGTAAGCTGGATTTGTAAAGCAGGAGGTGAAGCTGTAGGTTACTGAAGAAGAAAACATAAACAGAGAGTAAGGTTCTAGTCATGTAGGTGTCTCTATGTCCTTTGCATGTTGCAGAACAACATATTCTCTGCAACAAAATGGGAGAATTGTGGTGAGGGATTAGACTTTAGTCAACGGAATAATGAAGCTGTACATCAAAAGAATGGCAGGGAGGAAGATAGCACATATTCTACAAATTAAGACAAGGTTCTCCTATCTAGATATAACCACTCTGCAGAAATAGTACAGGTATACTCTTTGCAAATGGCATGAATATACTGCTGATATATGTTTAAGTGGCTGTTATATAAATAAGTAGAAAACCCTAACAACTGTGGAAGGTTATTTTTCACAAAACTATCAGAAATAAGAGAAATTTCTGGTATTGTGTAGGAATCCTTAGTTATTAATGTTCTTAGTGTTTCCATTTTTATCAGTTTCTTGTTCCTCAAGTTTATAGTAACTTTTGAACGCTACTTAGCTATTATGTATGGAACGTGACCTTAAATGTTTGGGTTTTTTTTCTTACCTTAGAGATGATTTGAGATCAAGAGCTATATCTTGAAACATTTTATTTTTTTAATATCTGTGTGGAGCACTAATGGTGTAGCTTTAAGCACACAAGACTTGCTCTCGGATGTTGAAAACGTGGGTTTGATTTCACTCTTGATTTTTGAATACCATGAACTCACAGCACTTGGAAACATTATTAAAAGGGTTTTTTTTTTTTGTTCCTTTTAATGTATTTTTAAATCACTGGAATTTTAATGCTTTCTTATTATATTCTATTTTTGGAACAAAGTGATATTGTATCCTTTGATGGTCTGTTCAACAATATAATAGTTGTTGAAATATTTTTATGCATTACTCATATAAAAACTAGTAATGAATGCTTCTATCTACTCCATACTAATGTGGCTTTCTCTGCAGCTTGTAGAGAACTCAAGTCTTTTATTTGTTGTATGTGTTTTACACTGGAAGTGAATTGTACTATGGGAGTGAAAACTGGCTCAGAAGATTCAGTAATGGCACATAGTAGTGAAACCTTTGCATCTTTGTTTGCTGTATCTGTGACATCTTATAATTAGTATTCAAAGCACTCAGTGAGGTAGCTGAGACTGATGGTGCCACTGGATAGGTGTAGTATGAGTGGGAACCTTGACAGCTTTCTCATGCCCATGTGCGTGGCATTTTTCAAACTTGCATTTGCTTGTCCTTACTGTCACTGTTTCTCTCTTGCACTCTGTTTCTCTGGGTGATTTGGCAGAGCTTCATATGCTTCACTGACTCTTGGTATACAAATCTGATCACCTCTTTTACTCAGTGGCGTGTCGGTTTGAATTCCTTAATATCAATTAAGCAAGCTTTATGCTTGTTGGAGTGTGAGGGGGTGATTTTAATTCCTAGTGTGAACTGTATTTCTAATCCATGATGTAGAACTGCAGTGTTTGTAATACCTGTGTTGCTTTGCATTACTTGCATACTGCTGCAGCTGGCAATTGGGGGACAATGTGGTGCTGGGCTTAGATAATGGCTTGAAATAGTGGAAGCACCTGCTGGCTCCTGGGTATTTCTGTTACCATTATAGAATCATCCTGCTGTATGCCACACTTGGCGTCAGTATAGTTAACATGGACTAATGTTTGCAGATCCACGTATATGTGCATAAATAATGAATTCAGTGTAAAGTGTGCTGAGACTCTCACATAATTTGCATGGGCTTGATACGTGTTGGAGAGTTCTCAAGATTGCCCTCATTAGTGATGCTAATGAATAGTGAAAATCATGGCCAAATTAACAAACTTTCAGTTCTGCTGAATCTTGAGGAAAAGTTACTGTTACCAGGAGGGATGAAACTCAATATGCAAAGATTAGGGGAAGCCCAGCTCACCCTAGACAATGCGGGTACCAGGACTGGGGCAGTGCATTTGGGTCACAAGTAGAAAAGTGAGTAACCCCCAAAAAACCCTATGGAGACTGCTGCTACTGCACTGCAGAGAGGAGTGGCCTTAGTTTTCCCTGGAATGGTGTATGTCTCTTCAGGCCTTTAGTGATCAAAACAACTATTTGTAGACAGCTGCAAGGCAGGGTAATTAAGGCAAAGCCTAGTGTATAGCAATTAGTGTAAATTAGGCAATAGGGGCTCTAGAAAACTGGTAAAGCAAAAGACAGAAAGGAATCTGTAGTCCAAATGGATAAGGATAGAATGCTTTTAGTATATTATCGTTCTTTCGAGTCATAGCAGAGTATTCCTCCATTACCAGTTGAAAATAGCTTAAAAAATAATGTCTTGGTCTGTTTTCAAATATTAGGAAAAAAAGTTTTATGGTTAGTGTGGTCAGGCACTGGAATAGATTGCCCAGGGAGGTGGTGGAGTCACCATCCCTGGCGGTGTTTAAGGGGTGTCTGGATCTGATGTGGAAAGATATGGTTTAGGGGTTCCAGCAATGACAGGTTAATGGTTGGACTTGATGAACTTAGAGGTCTCCTCCAACCTTGATGATTCTATGATTTCCTTGTAATTCCTAATTTTCTGTGTTGCTAACTGATGAATGGAAACCAACTATCGCATTGTTCTGGGTAGGTACCATAAGTTCTGCATCAAGTTAATTCCTGGTTAGAAAAACACACTTAAGTGGTGCTCTGTTTTCAAAGTATGCTAATCAGAAATACACAAGAAAAATGCAGGTCACTTAATAGAAGAACAACAACAAAAAAGGGGTTTAAACCAGAAGCATGTGGGTGGGTAATGCTGGTGGCTTGAAGGAATGATCACATTTTTAAGCAATAAAAAAGCTCATTTATTTTCATTTAGTCTTTGATATTTCCTTTGATGTTACTTTCTAGGACCAGGGGGGAATTTATTTAAATAACAATATAAGAATTTAGGTTTAATGCCTTCCTTTTAACTTGTTTAAACATACAGTCTCTTATCACTTAAAAATGTCTCAAGTATATTGATTGATTTATTTCATTATATCAAAACAATGAGATGTACTTTAAACCCTCTTCCCCAAACATGATGATGCTGTAAAAATGTTGAACAAATATTATGAGTGTGATTCAAGAGAGACAGAGTTATTCAATCACAAGGAAGGATTGTTGAGTAAGTTTGTTCAGGAAACAAATGACAAAACAGCTTAATTGTAGATGTGAGCAGCTTGCAGTAACATAAATGGAAGTGAGGGTCTAAACTGGAAAACTCTGAGATTACTGAGACAAGTAAAATGGAGAATGCAAAAAATATTTTGTACTGGTGCTCTAATCAACTCTTCACAAACATGTCTACAGCTGGTCTGCTTAACTAATTCAAGCTGGCAAAACTCACAAATGGTTCCTCGCTTCCTTGATAAGATTTATTTGCAGTGATTGAATCAAGTTTGTATTCCATTCTTTCTACTAACCCCACATCTGCCACTTTGAAACTGTAGCATTGATAGCTCTTGGCTACTGTTGGGGCATGTTATTGCTCTGGCACAAAGCAGACCACACAGGCACTGGCTAAAATGAATGAAGAGAGATCAAAGACTCAATGAACATGGCCTATTTATTATTTTTTTTTAGGTACTGAAATTGTGTATGTTTGAGTTTCCTAGCCTGAAAAAATGCATGAAGCAGTGCAAGTGTTTACTCATACCTAAAATGACTTCCACCATGTCTTTCCTAGGTTGGAGTGTGAAATTAATTAATTTTTAAAAAAAAAAAAAGGTCTCCTTTTACAGTCCTTAGGATGGCCTAAAGATTCTTTTAGCCTTCTATAGAATTCCTTATTGCATTTCTTGAGCAGAAAACCAACATGGCTAAGGTTATATAAGAATAAGAATTAATAATATGAATGAGTTTTCATTCAGTTTTGAATTAAAATTGACAATATCATTAATTTCTTCTAAAGAATGGAAACATGACAGAATTTATTTCAGATAAATGATTTGCCAAACTGGGGTTTTTAATTAAAAGCATGACATTTTAAATGAATGATAAATATATTTGTTGTACCATGAGAAAATTCATAAGCTTAGAAACAATCTGAATACCTCTCATCATATTTTCTGAGTAATAGCTTTAGTTTAGTGTTTTCCTTGTGGTTTGTATTGTTTTTATCTATGAATTTTCTTGATATGCATATACAGTTTTTCACATGTTAGTATGTATTGATTTGTTATATTTTGTAGGACTATATTGAGAGAGAGTGGCTTTGCAAGATACCTTCATTCAGCTGTCTTAATCAATGGAGCTATGCTCATTTTTGGTGGAAACACTCATAATGATACTTCCCTGAGTAATGGTGCAAAGTGTTTTTCTGCTGACTTTCTAGCATACGATATAGGTATGTATTGTATTGTATTTTTCTCATGTGACTTTTTACCACAATATTGCTTTCTCAAGTTCTGCTAATGTGATTCTTCAAAGTTTTGATCCCTTAAGTTATTAATAAATTATACAGATTTTTGTTCCATCGTAATCTAAAGTTTTTGGTTTGTGGGACAAAACATCAGTTTTAAACATCAGCTAAAATAATCAGTTTTCAAATATGTGCCTAATACCCTTTTATAATATGAATAGTGAATATGTTGCTACATGAATTGCAAGGGTTGGTGCATTTTGGTATTATGAAAGGATTTTGAACAGAGACCTTGCTACATGAATTGCAAGGGTTGGTGCGTTTTGGTATTATGAAAGGATTTTGAAGAGAGACTCTAGTGGCTATTACCTCCAAGTGTTGATTTATTTTTCATACTGAATAGCTACATATCTAATTTAATATGTTGCTGGAATTAAAAAAACATAACCCACAATACAAACAAATAAGACACACACACACACACACACACACACACACACACACACACACACACACACACACACACACCAGTAATGCCTGAGAGGTTCCTAGGATGGTTTGGAATTGGAATTGGTGGCTGTTTGGAAAATACATTGCCCCCACAGTGGGATTGAATTGAAAATCAAAGAGTGGAGAAGCCAAGGCAATCAGAGGTCTGAAAAGCGAGGTGAGGATACTCAGGTGGTGATGTTCAGACAGCTGAGAATGGGAGTTGCCACAATGTGAAAGCAATTTGGAAACATAGGAATTCCACGCTGCAAGAAGCAGAGTGTTGAGATACAGCCTCTTGGGAGACAGATTGTGATAGCTGAACAGACACAGGTTGGGGCTGATAGCTGAGATGCATGAATTTTTCCTGGATATCTTCCTCTGACAAGCTGCCCTCCCGCTTCCTGCCTCTTCCTATGCATTTCAGATGAGAATCTTAATTAGAAGTTTCCTGCCTTTGAGACTCAAATAATGGCATGATCAGGGTAATTGCCTCTGAGTTACCTGTTTCACATGGAGCAACACCCCACTCAGTCTAGCATGAGCAGTCCTGCTGAGTGGGAGAAAAACTCTGGGGGATACTCCCTCATATAGACTAACAGGCTAACTACATTAAATGAATCGGGGCAATAAAAGACTATGGGATACTTTTACATCATTATGTTACAGATGAATTTTGCTTCTGTGGACAAGAGTGCAATGAAAATGTGTCAGCTCTTTGTGCTTAGTTTCGTGAGACAGAAAGCTTAGGATGATGGTGCTAAAAAACCCTTTTACTTCCGGAGCACCAGAGCCTGTGCAAATGTCAAAATACAAAAGTCATTCCCATTTATTCAAATTCAGAAGTAGAAGTGAATTGGAACGAGAGAACTCCACAAAACTTTGCTGACAACCAAGGGGGAGGAGGCTGTACTGCCATTCAGGGGGAAATGAGGTGATTGGAAATGATAGTCGACATGAGATAATGTTTAATGGAACAAGGTTTAAGTCCTGCACTTAGAAAATGGTAAGAATTTTCTTCTACAAATTGAAGGAAATGGCAGTGGCTTGTGTGTCTGAGTCAGGTGGTAGAAATGGCCTGTGCAGTCCGAGTAAAAAGAAGCAAAAAGCATTGATGCCATTCTCAAAGCTGTGGATATTTTTGTGGTATTTTAGCAATGCACATTTAAGAAAAAGACAAACTCAAACAGGGCATGGCAAGTGGTATTAAGGCCGACTGAAGCATGAGGTGCCTTTAGAGATAATTAAAGGATGTGGTATATTTAATTTTACAAGAGAGTGGCTAAGAGCAGAAGTGATTGTTGTTTATGAGTATATGATAAGAATACATTTTGAAGGAAAACTCTTTAAGATAAGACAAGACTAGGTGGATGGCAGCTTTCAGTCTGTAGAATGGTTCCAACCATTTGAGCTTTGCACTTATGGAAAAACCTCCCTATAGGATTTTGGAGGCTATAAATCTATGGGAATTTAATGAGTCCATATTCTGTTTCCTGTCTTGTTTATTGCCACTGCTGTTCTGGCCATAAAGAGTTTTTCCTTTCCCTGATGTTCATGTCCATATTTTATGCATAGGCTTTAAATATAAACATACAGCTCATATTTGGGCCAAAAAGCACAGTCACTTCTGGGAGCTAAAAACCAGGAAATGTGTCAGAGCAGTCTGGGAAATGGGCTCATGCATGATCCTGGTGAGAATAGCCTGTGAATATTGCCTGGATCTATTTTTGGCAAGCGTTTATCAGCTGCCTACAGTGGTGGAAGAGGCTGAGACATGATCCTTTTTATAGGAGTAAATGGCTCTTTCTGACATTCTGTATAGATATCAATGCAATGTGTTTGCTTTAATACAAAAATAACAAGTGAATTAAGTACATGGAACATATATGGGTTATTTCCTGTCAGCTTCCCTGAGTGTGCAAATAATACCTTTGCAGAACAGTTGAATTTTTCAAACTGTATTCCTGTATTGCATATTCCATAGCTTCTTGTTGGCATCCGATGGTGTGAGCTATTGATTTTGTTCTCACTTCAGTTTACGTCTGGTTTTAATTTTTAATGAAACAGAGCTCCCTTCTCATTTTGGAGGATAATATTACTTATTGGTCTATATTTATTCATACAATGTGCACTTGAGAATCAATAATACGAGTCCCAGGATCTGAATAAATGTAACTTTCTGACTTTGACATACCAGTAGCTTTTAATCTTCCTTATAAAATGTTTTCTGCTGGTGTCTTCTTTAACTGGAACAATATTTTGGTTAGTCTAGCTGATTACAATGTTTAATATGGTATTTGTATTGTCTTGCAAGTCACATTCTCCATGTGTTACAAACTGATGAAGTACAAAAGAAATGGATGTAGTAATTACTCTTTGGGTGTAGTAATTACTCTTAAAAATGAAATCTATGAAGATTGATTTGATTCAGACTTTGTCTTCTGTATTATTCATGTCACCAAATTAAAAACATAACCTCACAGCACACATCGGAGACAGATATATTCTTTCAGAAAACATTAAATATTTTACTAAGAATTAAACAGCTCTGGAATGGATATATTTCAAAATTTTATTTACTTTGTATCCTGAGTTTTTGAACAATGTTTGGAAGAAAAAAAATACATGATGCTATCAGCAGCACATTTCCTAGATACTTTGCAAGTGATGGAGTGTTATGCCCTGTCTTGTAAAAAATGGGTGCTGTCTGGAAACCAGCTGAATCCTGGAGATAGAGCCTGTACTATTTATGTTCAAGTTGGGCTATAGAGTACTTTTGATTATCTCTCTTATTAGATGTGACATAGTCTTATGGATAGATTGCTTCAGCTTTTTATTGTCCATGAAAACACTGTTTTTCATATTAATGTGAAGTAAGTGTTTAGGTTGCTTCATCTCAGTTAAGTTTAGCTTTCTAAAACATTGGTGTCTAATGCAATTCAGTAATCCACACTCCTCCTCTAGTCAATGGAGGGAGATAAGTATCTCCAGAGACCAATTAATTTTACCAAGCTTAGAGCAGAGTTGCCTTTTTTTTTTTTCTCCTCCTTTTCTCAATCAGCCATTGCTCTCTAGGTTCTGAGCTTAGTTTATATGAGTAGTTTTAGACCTCTTAAATAGAGCCAAGAGCTCAGTTCAGTCATTTGAAATGCTTACTGCATATTTGTTAAAGCTGAAGAGTCAGAGATGTGGAGATGTTATAAAAACTATTATGATGCCATAACTTTCATAATTTAATATTATTTGATGTCTTTATTTAGACAGCTGTAAATGCCTGATGGGAAGGCTGCTGCATAAAATGAGCTTTAGAAATCTGGGCTTGGTATGCTTTTGTCCTCCTCTGATATATAACCACCAGGTTGCCCCTAGGTTGCTCTGGCAGCTCCTTAAAGATCCAAAAATGGTGCTTTTTGTAGAGGGGAAGTATTTTCCAACTGTGCTATTATTGCTTATGGTGGTCTGGAAGAGGAACTTTGGCAGCAAGGACAGGGTTGCCACTGGGCTCAGTCTTGAATGCTGTGGTTGACCTGCAGTTTTCTAACTCATGTTTGTTATGGCTTTTCTTTATCTGTTGTTCACTGAAGTGCCATAGTTAGCCATTTGGTATGTAAAAAAAAGCATCTGAAGGGACTCAACTGGTGAGATTTTACTTATTATGAATTGTTATCAGTGAGTCATGTATGCATAGGACAGTTTGTGTACAGTTGTCATACATAATAATGGCACTTAATACAAACTGGGATATGCGTGTCTGGAAATCTGGCTGCGTACTTGTAATTAATAATAGGGATTTATCTTTATAGTATCTTGTTCTCTGGTATTTGCTGTGTAATTGAGAAACTATATATTAGGACCTGTACCCAGAGTTCTCCCAGTTCCTCAGCACTGCTTTGTAATATATAAAAATTCCATATGTTTGGGAGACTGAGACATGCTGGAAAGGAAGTAGATAATCATCACTGACCTTACATTTTATGAAGTGCTTAGGTCCCACAGAGATTAGTTTAAATAAATGTGTAGTAGTACTAGAGAGGAAGTGTGACACATGTCAGTATTGATGTTTCACCTATGTTCTCCAGGGATGGTGAATCCACCACCTCCCCTGGCAGCCCATGCCAATGCCTGATCACTCTCTCTGTAAAAAATCTCTTCCTAATACCCAACCTAAACCTCCCCTGGCAGAGCTTGAGTCTGTGCCCTCTTGTCCTGCTGCTGGTTGCCTGGGAGAAGAGACCAACCCCCACCTGACTCCAACCTCCTGTCAGGGAGTTGCAGAGGGTGATAAGGTCTCCCCTGAGCCTCCTCTTCTCCAGGCTGAACACCCCCAGCTCCCTCAGCCTCTCCTCATGGCACTTGTGCTCAGTCCCTTCACCAGCCTCATTGCTCTTCTCTGGACCTGCCTCCAGCACCTCAATGTCCTTCCTGAACTGAGAGGCCCAGTTCAGTTTTTTCTAGGTTATTCAAGCAAAGCTTAAAAGCATTTTCTTTTTGCAAAAAATTGCAAAATTATCTCATGAGATTGACTTTAGTTCCACGTGTAATCAAACATACTTCTTTTATTTTGTAATAAAATGAATGTTTTATTCATAAATTGTTTGCTTGTAAAATAAGTTGTTTCACCTCTAGTCTTTGTCATCAACAAAATGAGCAAGTTAAAATGTCTGTAAATTTATTTTTTTTCCAATGCAAACCCATCTACTTTTGCAATTCTCCCTCCTTCTGGAGTTACAAATGGATTATCAATGTGCCATCACAAAGAAAATGTAAAGCAGCGGCTGTGAAAGATTAAGTTTTATGCTTTCCTGAGGACTTAAGTCATAAATGCAGTTCTGGTGCAGTCTGTACTAGCAATTACCTCCATATTGCTGTACTATTAGAAGAGAAAAACCATAATAATATAATGCACTAATTGCTCCATTTAATAGTAAAACTTAGGGTTGTTTTCTTTATATTGCTTAGGGAGCCACTGTTATGTATATAGAATCTGTTGTAGATGTTAGTTCTATAGTTTCAATTCAAGTCCCGCTGTTTCCAACATACTTGGCTTTGTGTTTTCCTGAGAGTAAGGAGATTTTTATTATCTGATTAAAGAAAAATATTTATGCTGTTTGGAAAAAATTGGAATAGGAGTTTTTTGTTCAGAGCTGACTTTCATGGTGTTTTATTTGTTTGCGGTGTTTAGTTGTCCAGTCACAAAAAGAGAGAACCAGACAGAAGTATCACGGTGTCCATACTTCATGAACTTCTTTTAGCAGAGAAAAACTGAATAATTATTGGAAATATGTAATGAGAAAATAGAAGCATAAGCAGATATTGGATTTTAAGTAGCGCATAAGGCTGCACTGCCAGTGTTGCCAAGTGTGATTGAGCAGAACAAATACGTTGGCATATCAAATCTATTTAAATAGGTTGAAATTGAGAAATGATTTGATAATGTAAACATAAAGTATGTAGTTTCATCTACCTTCTCTTAAAACATAGCTCCGAATGTAGCAAGAGGTTGTCAGTAAATCAGGCTGCCAATGCAGAAATACAAATGTGGTCCTGGAGGTACAGTATGGAACACTGGTTGCCCCTTTTTTAGAGACTGTCCTAAAAACTTTTGCTCCCTATTTAGAACAGTATTCATTTTTTAAATTATCATTTTTTAATTGTTCAGTGGAACAGCATTAACTTGCAGTAATGAAAAAGTAGCTAGAACAGTTAAGGCACTTTCCTTAGAGATGAAAGCTTTAGGTTTAAATCCCGTTGGGTAGGAAATAAACCTTTTTCTCCTACATCTTGGATCATTGCTCTAGCTACTGTTATACCATATAAAGCAAGTCTTTTTTCTTATTTTGGAAGTGTGAATCCTTTCCATTAGTTAAGGGGGACAGTGAAGGGATCACTTTGAGATGGTTCCACCTGCAAGTTCTGAGTGGACATGGTGCTTCTGTTCAGCCTTGAGTGCAGAATGGGGCATTGTGGGGTGGGGGATGAAGATGAAGTGTAAATGAGCTTCTTTTCTCTTCAGTGCTTACAGGTTTTTTTTGTCTGAGTTTCTGTAGTGTTTTCTGCAAAGGGAATTTTTCAGTTCCTTCATGTTCTGTTACATGCTTTACAAACAGTTGTAGAGTTCGAAGGGAGTTGTCAACATTTTCAGGGTTTGTCCTATAGTGTCTTTAGTTGTTGACAATAATTGAGACGTCCTTAATGCACTTAATAAATCCAAGGCTGAGCAAGGAGAGTAGTCACCATGAAAACTGCTTGTAGGCATGCAGTTCTCTTAAATTTTCCTCAGTCAAAATTAAAACTGGTGATAGTTGAATGCTGATCTTGCATAATTTTTGAAACTGTTTATTAACTGAATTCAGACATGAATTTAATGGAGCTAGGATCATATATTTCCCCTATTTTTTCCTTCAATCACATTTTGGTAAACCTCAGTTAAATTTTTTTAATCAAATCTGTGTTCAAGTATATTACTAATATGACAATGTTGGTTAGTAATGTGGTGGGGGTTTTTTTGTATAAAATCATACTGGGAAACATTCTGGTAATGTATGAATACTTATGCAGCATTGAGAATTTTTCTATGAAATGTCTTGGTCATCCTCTCTGTCTGTAATGCAGTATTGCCAGTAGGCTGCAGATGAGAAGGATACAGGTAATTGGGAAAAGTGTGGGGTGTTGGAGTGTGGACCTTGGAGTAAACTACCCTGTGCAAAGTTCAGTTGGGGTTTTTCTCTGCCAGCATCAGCTAGATTGCTTCAAATCTGATGTGTTGCATCATGTGAGAAATTGGTGTGACTGGAAATTCACTCTCAGAGCCACTTCTGTGTCATCTACTAACCATTTAGTCTACACTAGGGGGGCTATGAACCTTTTTCATGTAATGATAGAATGAGGTACAGTTTGTTCTTCAAGTAGAAGCCTTTGTAATAGAATGAAAGGCCCTTGTATTTCTCCTTGTATTTTTCAGTGACTAAAGATTCTGCTAGTCAGTTTGGAATGAATAGTATTGTTCTTTCATCTGCTTAGTAACTGGTTCTATTAAAAGTGGTTGTGGTCTTCCATGTGCTATATACTGTACCTGGTTACATACAAAGACAATTCTGATTACAACCAATACTATATCTTCTGCTTACTGTCTGTATAATACCTTAAGAGTGCATAGTATTTTGTGGAGGAAAGTTCCATGGAGCTTGCCATCATTATTACAGTCAATCCAACACATACCACACACAGAATGCTGTAATATTGATAAGTAATGTTGTAAATCATACTACACTTGCTATTTGTCACTTTCCTCTTGGAACAGTGCTGTTAAGTCTGGAAATAAGGGTACTTAGAGATGTTCAAAAGATGTTTGAAGATGACAGGCAGGGATGAATTCTATTTGACTCTTTACCAAAAGCCACCAAAAATCAGTTGGTTAGCCATCTCTATTTTGGATTAACCAATCTGTACAGAGAAACTTAGATCAGGAAAGCAAAGCAGAGCAAACATATTATTCCTGCACAGTGCTCTGTTCAGTAGTCATTGAGAGGACTAGGAGGAGATAAGAGGGAAGGCTATTTGTAATGAGCTTCCCTCCCCCTTTTTTCTTGTACTTTATTGAAAAGACCTGCCAGTTTGACAAATACCATCCGTAAGAAAGGAATTATTATATCTCCAGCCCTCAGGGGTTCCTTATCTCAAAACCAGCCTTTATTATGGTTTTATGGTTTTCCTTTGGCATTAAATCCCATTTTTTCTTAAATAAATTTCGAAGTACAGGAAAGGCTATGTATTTGTATATGTTTGTAAAAATACAAAAATTAATGTCAACACTTCCCAAGATGAAGTGTTTTGCTTGCTCTGTGGAAAATTGCTTTATTTGCTCCATTTGAAAGGGATTTCCTTGAAGTTTCAATCTGTAGGTGCTCCCTATTTCTATTACTGTGGGATTTGAATATTTGAAGTCAGTAAAGTTCAAGTAGAAAATGACTAATTGTTCTAAAGAACTAAAATCCCAGTCAGGAAAGAAAAATGAAACCACACCGAAACCACATTTGTAAATGTTCCTGCAGTAGTACTGAAAGAAATATGCTTGAATAGTTAATTTGACATGGAGGTACAGATACGACATTCATCTCAAATGTCTGATGAATGGAAAGTAATTAGTAGCATACTTAAATCAAGATACCAGAAGTAAGACAATAATGAGATGGGTTGCACAGCTGGAGGACTGGTAGTTTATCTTAAAACATTTATGAAAAGAGCTAAGTTCACTGTCATAGATCTTCCATGAAATACATATGAACTGAAATCCTTTGGCTAATTTGGGAGTGTGTAAATATTAGGGAAATATTACTGATCACTTGATAATGACGGTGGCAGTGCTTGTTGCAGTGGGTTTTTAAACTGGCTGTGAAGGCAGAGAACTGTATTATTTTTGAACAATGCAAATACAATTTGTTTGTTTTACTGAAAACTTTTCAAATTATTTGATACATGTTTTCTTATGCTATTGTTTTGTCTTTCAGCTTGTGATGAATGGAAAGTTTTACCGAAACCTAATCTGCATCGAGATGTCAACAGATTTGGTCACACTGCTGTTGTCAGTAATGGGTAAATGAAGCATCTTTTAAATTTTCCTTGTTATTTTTCTGAATGAAAAAACTGTAGTAGGAATGACACTTTTGTGAAGTATGATTCAATGACATACAACTGATGTAATTTATTAAAGGGAGAAGGAGTGCTCATCAGGGTCTTTACTTGTCTTAGGTAATCAGTACAGCTAATCATCAATCTGCCATGCTGTGGGATCTGTTCAATGGTATTTTAGGTGAACCTTCTAGTGTAAAGAGGTGTTTCCTCAGTATCATGAGCTACAGTGAATTTGATGAAAAGTATAATCCTCAGATATAGTGGGAGAAATCTCTTTCTCTTTGCAGTGTGCTATGATTCATTGTTCTATAATCATCAAATAACTGTGTAACTAAAATTTGCATGGAAAAGGCAAAGTTTTGGCAATACTGATATGGCTGTTATCTCAGTTGCAGGAGAAAAAGCCTGCCAGCACCTAGATGATAGGTTTAACCCCAGGCAGCAGACAAGAACCACACAGCCTCTCACTCACTCCCCCACCAACGGGATGGGGGAGCGAATTAGAAGGGTAAAAGCTACAAAAACTCATGGGTTGAGATAAAGACAGTTTAATAGAGAAAGCAAAAGCTGCACACACAAGCATAGCAAAGCAAGGAATTAATTCACTGCTTCCCAAAGACAGGAGGTGTTTAGCCATCTCCAGGAGAGCAGGGCCCATCACGTGTAGCGGTTCCTTGGGAAGACAAATGCCATCACTCCAGATGTCCCCCCTTCCTCCTTCTCCCTCCCACCTTATATACTGAGCATGATGTCCTATGGTATGGAATATCCCTTTGGTCAGTTTGGGTCACCTGTCCCAGCTGTGTCTCCTCCCAGTCTCCCATGCATTCCCAACTTCCTTGCCAGCGTGGCAGTACGGAAAGCAGCAAAGGCCTTGACTCTGTGTAAGCTCTGCTCAGCAATAACAAAAACATCTCTGCATTATCAACTCTGTGTTCTGCACAAAACCCAAACATAGCCCCATACTAGCCTCTGTGAAGAAAGTTATCTCTACTCCAGCTCAAACCAGCACATAAGTGTATTGCTTATCCTCTAGAAAATGTAGCATACATTCCTGTCATCTGTTGAGTAGAGGAGCTCAGTAAAGTTGGATCATCTAGAAACAGGAGGTGGAATAGATCTGCCATTTTCTGGATATGGTGGCTGAACTATGTACTTCTTTTACTCCAATCCCCAAAGATAAAATTGTAGGACAAATCTCCTTTTCTAGTGGAAAAGTTGTAGAAAATAGTAGTCAGGTTTAAAGAAATTTATACTGTTTGCTTTTGTCAGTTTTACTTTTGCTGATTGCCAATTGGGCTAATATCTGACAATTGCAATACTATAGATCATTGTACTACTGATTGTTCCTCTTCTACCTTATTCATTACACTAATAGTATTTAGGTATATGTGGGCAACTTACATATCCTCTACATAGGGATATTGTTTAGGTCAGAAATAACATAGGTAGTAAGTAAAACTAGACTTAAGAGTGTGAATGCTTTTAACAAAAATAGCACTAAGTTGCAAGTCTGTACACAGAGCACTTGACATTAATCAATGAACAGATGTATTCATTAAGAGAAAAATGCTTGAAATTAATGATTTCAGCAGCTGGTAGTTTTTCATTCTGATTTGTGTGTTTTATGTCATCTAAGCTATGTCTGATACTTTGAGAACTGTCTCTTTCAATGAATGATATTCAAGGTGAAAATGCCCATTTTGTTTTTTTTTTCAGAACATAGTGGTATTTTTGGTAGGGTTTTATGTACCAAAAAAAAAGTACATTACAAGATCATCTCCAGCTTTCTACTATTGGTAACTCTGTGGTTAATTCTCTTTTAAGAGAATATGGTACATCAGATATACGAGTTCTCTATTATCTTTTGCCTGAGACTGTGCGTAATTTTAAGTGAGAAGGGTAAGGATTCCAGTCTAGTCTTGTGGTTATGATGTCAGCACTTACTGCACTGGAAATGTTATCAGAAAGAAATATCCATCTGCCAGTTCTTGCTGCCTGTCTTTGAAGTCTTTTTGAAGGAAGATGTTTTCATTTCCTGCAGGCCATTATTTCATGCCCTTTTCTCATTATCTAGAGTAGTTTCTTCCAAAGCTCTTAATTCTTCTTTCCGGACATCTGGTATATGCCACTCCCTAATACATATAGTACAGTGAGCTTTCAGCAATTTGTTTGTTAGTCTAAATTTTCAGGGAGAAATAAATTACAAAGCTAAGCAATAAAGGAACCACTGACAGTCTTTATTAGGTTTTTAATTGTCTATCAAGACAGATAAGAAATCAAGAAAATGTGTCTACAATAATAGTTGTATTTACTTACTTTCTCCCAATAGGTCCATGTATATATTTGGAGGTTTTTCAAGTGTTCTGTTGAATGACATCCTCGTGTACAAACCTCCAAACTGCGAAGCATTCAGAGATGAGGAGCTGTGTAAAAATGCTCGTCCAGGAATCAGGTGTCTGTGGAACAAGAAACATTGTGAATCCTGGGAATCTGGACATGCTAATAACATCCTTAGAGCAAAATGTCCTAAGAAAACAGGTAACTGGGTTCAATCTTCCAGTATCAGGTTTGCAATACAGTCTAGGAGATGAGGGGGAAGTGGAGGCAGGATGACCCCCAAATGATCCCCAAATTAACTGGGTGGAACTAGTAACTGGAATGTTAAGACTCTTCTGTTCTGGGAATACCAGTGCAAGAGATGTCTAGACTATTTTTAAAAATCATTCAGTTATGGGATCATTTTGTATTTTAAATACAGGAAAGTAGGTGCAAAAAGGCACAAGTTTAAGGCGCTAAGGGAAAAGCCTAAGAGCAGTCTGAGCACAAGTGGTCACTGCAAGTGATATCTGGCATTTCAGGGATATGGCACTCACACCTCTATGTACTGATGAGAGAAGGAAAGTATTATTGCTTCCAGTTGATTACCCATCAAACAGGAGCATTTGTACAGGAGAATATAGCACAGTCACAGCTGGACAAAAACTCGAGGCAAACAAGCCCTTTGCTGCAATATGTCAGAATGGGTTCAAGTTTGTCATCTGAATTTCTCTGTGGCATTGTGATAACTTATTGTTTGAAACAGCAATTTAGTGTTATGAATAACTGTTGCAATCTATTCCTGAGCATTTTGGCTTGTCACGAATAAATTGCTTGTGAAAGTGTTGTTCTTATACTTTACATGAACAGAATATGCATCTCTGCTACATGCACCTACTATTTTTTCTGTGCATCTTTCTGAAGTGTAAAATTCCCAAACTTTGGCTGTGTTCTACATGTACAAACTGCCATACAGTTAAACTTCCAGTCTGTGGTTTATATTTGTTGAAATGTTATTAACACTACTATTAATCAGCACTTGAAGAAAATTTTCTGCTAGATTTTATTTGTTTCTGGACTGTAACATTGCAAACTCAGGAACAAAAGGTACATGATGTGACAAAAATGGTATCTGGACAAAGCTTTCTGAAAAACTGCTTTCGTACATTTTCATAACATTTAGAGATCTAGGGTCTAGAAAGTTTCATCTCTTTATAAAATGAAAAAATCTTGAGACATTAAATTAAAAAGTAACACAGAAGAAAGTGCATCTTATAAAAAGCTGATCATATCAACAGGTGTTTAAAAAAAAACAAAGCACAGACAAGCTGAAGGTTAAAAAAAAAAATTAGAGCAGTTTCTAAACTACAGCTGCTGCAGTGGGAATGAACTACAACTCAGCTTGCAAGAGATGAGGTCAGTAGAGCTGCAGTTCCAAAGACATTGTATGAACAGCACTGTTTCACTACTGTCAAATTATTCCAATTTCAGGTGGTATTTTTTTGCCAAAAGCCAATTTTTCATGCTTTCTTTTACAATGCTTGGTTCAATTGTTACCAGGTTGAGAGTATCATCTGAGGAACTTTTAACAGTCAATATTAAAGGATAAGCAGAAATTTAAGTGGATTTTCAAAGGATCAATTCTTGGATAGCAAGACTTCCCTGGCAGGAGAATCTCTTAAACTTGAATGACCCTGAGACTAAAGGAGCCAAACTGAACAGGAGATAAATATACTACTCATTGTAGGAGATGGTACTAATTCTCCTGGTTTGGGTCATGATGATTTTTCACATTTTTGCCTCCTTTAAACAGAAATAATAATTTGTGTCTCAAACTATATTAAATGCTTAATACTGGGAACTGAACTAAAATTTAGGTTATTTCACATGAACTCTTTCTTAAATACTTTTTTGTAGAGAAAAGACCGAACTCTAAATTTGCAGTCCTTATTAGGTTTATAAATTAATTCACAGAAACTGAAAATTTCCATGTTTTGTTAATATCTGTCTTAGATTTTTTTTTTATTTACTACTTTTAGCTTGTCTACTTGCACACCCATCAGATGTTTTTCATCAGAAACCTGCATTTGAAGAAAATCTTTCTTCTGTGTTAAAGAAGTGAAGAAAGAACAGTTGAAAAACATTTTCATGCTCTTAATTTATGCATTGTGCTATGAGAGCTTGTATGCAGCAAATCAGTGAATATTCCTTTAGTTTATGTAAGACTTATGAACCTTCAAATGTAGTTGTTACTGAAGGAATTTTAAAAGGAGTAAATCTTATTAACTGAATAGAAATAATTTCCTACAGTAACTTAAACCTTTATGAATGGCTAGAGTTCAAATGAAGGGTGTAACAGAACATGCTCTAAGCAAGTGTTAAAAATATGGTATTGCTCTTTCTGTGGGATGTTTTCTTGACTTTGATTTGTCTTACAGCTGCTGCAGATGACAGATGTTACCGATACGCAGATTGCGCGAGCTGTACCGCCAACACTAATGGGTGCCAGTGGTGTGATGACAAGAAATGCATTTCGGCAAATAGCAACTGTAGCATGGTGAGTCTTTACAAATCTATGAGCATGTTATCAGTGCTGTTCCTTCTCTAGGTACAGTAGACTAATAGAAGGTTGTTTTGAACGTGAATATAAACACAGAGATGACACAAAGTTGGGAGGGAGGCAGGAGGGCTCTGCAGAGGGACCTGGATGAGCTGGAGAGATGAGCTGATTCCAACAGGATGAGGTTTAACAAGGCCAAGTGCTGGTCCTGCACTTTGGCCATAACAATCCCATGCAGTGCTCCAGGCTGGGGACAGAGTGGCTGGAGAGCAGCCAGGCAGAAAGGGACCTGGGAGTTTGGATAGATAGAAAACTGAACATGAGCCAGCAGTGTGCTCAGGTGTCCAAGAAGGCCAATGGCATCCTGGGCTGGATCAGGAACAGTGTGGTCAGCAGGACCAGGGAGGTGATTCTGCTCCTGCACTCTGCACTGGTGAGTACACACCTTGAGTACTGTGCTCAGTTCTGGGCCCCTCAGTTCAGGAGGGACATTGAGGTGCTGGAGCAGGTTCAGAGAAGAGCAATGAGGCTGGTGAAGGGACTCGAGCACAGGTGCCATGAGGAGAGGCTGAGGGAGCTGGGGGTGTTCAGCCTGGAGAAGAGGAGGCTCAGGGGAGACCTTATCACCCTCTACAACTCCCTGACAGGAGGTTGGAGTCAGGTGGGGGTTGGTCTCTTCTCCCAGGCAACCAGCAGGAGGACAAGAGGGCACAGACTCAAGCTCTGCCAGGGGAGGGTTAGGTTGGATATTAGGAAGAGATTTTTTACAGAGAGAGTGATCAGACATTGGAATGTGCTGCCCAGGGAGGTGGTGGATTCACCATCCCTGGATGTTTTCAGGATGAGACTGGATGTGGCACTTAGTGCCATGGTCTAGTAATGATGGTGGGGTTGGACTTGATGATTTTGGAGGTCTTTTCCAACCTGGTTAATTCTAGGATTCTGTTTTCCAGGCTTTTGCAGTAAAAATGTTGTGGAGCGCAGAGTTGGGCTGCAGCAAAAATTCTATTCCAGTGTAAAAAAAATTATTCTTTAGGTTTGTGTTAGCCCACTGTATATTTCTCAGGGCAAATGCTATTTTTGCCTTATTACTGACACTTGAAAGATCACAGAGTCATAATTAACTTGGATTTTGTGCATATGTGGTGTACAGTACTCAGGCAGAACCTATGGAATCCCATGAAGGGTGGCTGTTCGTTTATTTCCCTTTCAAACAGGACCAGGTCAGTCTCATTAGCCTTGGTATTCTGATCACTGATCGTCATCGAAATGTTTTTCTTTAAGCCATGGAGTTACTTGTCATCTCATTAAAGGAATATGAGCCTCTGTAACCATGAGTTTAACTGGTTTGTGATGATTTGGTAAGATCTTTTTAATTAAAAGTAATCAGAATTCATAGATTCATCCAGGTTTATAGTTTTCTCTTTTTCATATTGCTTAGTGCCATGTTTTATACTTTATGTTGTTGTTCACCAGCTGCTGCATCTCTTGCTTGTTCATTTGATTTTTGACAAGCTTATAAAAGTATTTTAGCTTAATAAATTTAGCCTCCTTATATTTTTCAGCTAGCTGCAGACACCTGGCTGTATTTGAGTTCAACATCTTTTCTTTACAAACTTCCATTAATAAAAGTAGCATGCTCTCTGGTTTGAACCTGATGCAAATCAATCTTGTTCTCCAGACAGACAAATTAAGGTGTGAGTTGTATTGACTCTGACTCAAATCTTGCCCATTCAGAGTGAGCACAGCCAGCTCTAATCACTGGCATTTGTAGCTAGTCACTGCTAGTAAAAGCAATGCAGACACAAATTCATCAGCAGCTGCCTTCTAAGTGTCAGAGGCATTTCACATTCCAGGCACTAATGGTTACTTTCCTTTCTGATCTTCAAGGGCTCTTCTTTTGCTTGACACCTTGTACTATATTAGGTGCTAATTTTCTAGCCATGGTTTTCAACTCCTGAGCCAGAACAGTTGCTAAGGAGTGGACCATCTTCATCCCTAATAATTGTGGAGCACAGGGCATTTTATCGTGAGCTTCTCAGTTCAGTATCCTTCTTTGACAACCTTTCATGACTGAGATTGTCAGCTTAATTAGCAACTGATGCACTGGTCTTTTCTTTATCGTTTCCTGTCTTTTATATAGGGTTTGAAGTGGATAGCAAAAGCTCTTAGTGTAGTTACTAAAGAATAGGATAGCAAAAATTCATCAAAATAATTTCTGAAAAGAGGTGCTAACATGTATTGAAGGTGGCTGTGGCAAAATTAGCCTATTGGCTGTGAGATGATGGAGGCAGAATTTTGTGGCTTCAATATAAACCCACCAAAATAGCATCAACAGAATGGCACCATGTGGAGAAACAGAATGGATCAGGCTGATTATCCATTTTCATAGACTGCTACTTATGGACTAGGCCCACAAAAATGAAAATGTTGTGACAGCACTGTTATAGTAATATGGGATAACAAGCTGCAAACTCAGAAACATCACAAGGACAGAGCCCCATTTTTGCAGCTGTACAAAGGCCTTGATTTATGACTTAGATCATAGAACTCCAGATGAGACAGACAATAATGGTTTAGAATCTGCTGCTTTCCCCTCATGGAAACTGGCCAGTGTACTACAGATATGTTGGCAACCAGTTTGGCATTGGCCTCATGGTCACAGATACTTGCAAAGCTGTGACTGCTTTGCTATTTGGCATTGGCCTCATGGTCACAGATATTTGCAAAGCTGTGACTACTTTGCTGATTGGAAGGCCTTTAAAATATGAAAAATTCCCTGAAGTAACTATTTGGCCAGAGGGACCTCCTAAGTAGTGCCAGCACATTGATGATGCACATATACCTGCCTTTACTCACCATCTGATATGAGTCAGCATATTAACAGGACACTATTTTCCACCACTGTGCAGACTCAGGGATCATCAAGGTATGTATTATAGTCGTATCTGATGTAATTGCAAGCAGAGGCTTGCAATGCCAGGTCGTTCTGGAGCTCTGGCTCATTTCAGCACGAGCAAGGTGGTTTGTTTTGTGGGATACTTCTGCATGTTCTGCTGTTAGTTGGCTCCATCATATCTGATGCAAATGTTGAAGGTTGCCTTGGAAAGGACAGAGACTGCTTACAGTGGCTCTACATGATATGCTGTTCCATTTATTATTCTATAATAAAATGTAGTGTTTATATATAAACCACCAATAACAACAAAAGATATTTAATTTTTATCTTTGAGATTGATAGATGCTAAAAACGGTAAGATCATCTATTCTACCCTTTTTCAAAATTGAACAGATACAGATGCTGGTTTGTCATAGGGGAAAAAGCAACTATAATACTGTCATTAATACTGTCTTATACCAAGTACAGACTTCATGAAAAATGACATGCTAATATCTTTATAGCTTCCTCTTTCAAACTCTTACATGGAGCCTCTTGCATTTAACCCAGGGCTGTTTTCAGCTTTAAAACATTGAATATTGTCTAAGACACACAAAGAAGGAAATTACATCATCAATGTACTTTACTGTTTTTCTTACGCTCATTGTCTGCATCAAGGATGGACATTTGAACAGGAATATTTTGATTGGGTTGTAAAACCAAATACCTTTGTCTATGTATCCCTCTAAGCATTCTGTCTTTTGAAATTGGGAGAAACAGCTTTTTCATGCTCATATCTACCGTTTTTCCTCAGCTTCTGTCTCATGTTTTCCTTCTTTTTCTTCCCCAAATTCTGTCTCCTGCTTGTGATATATTTCTGACTTTTGTGGAGTAAATTGTATTGACTTTTCCTGTCTTTGTCTTACTCCTCTACAGTAAAAACCAAAGTGATCAGTGCAGATAGGGTAGCTGTAATAATATATTGTAATGATATAGTATATAATAACTGCTTGTCTATGGTGTTGGACATAATCCTTCATTTCATAGGAATGTCAACTGCCCACACTAAAAGATTGCAAATAAAGTAACTTATCCCTCATTACTTAAGGAGAGTATTTTGAAGGCTTGAAATGCAGTCGTAATATAATACCAAATTTTACTTGGAGAAGAAAATGTTTTCTTTTCAAAACCTTAGATGTACTTGCAAATAAATTGAACCTACTCACTTTCCTATAAAATTTCAACTCTTATTCTGAATCCTCACATTAAGCTTGTTAAAATATCTACTCTTTTATTGTAACAAACAGCAGACATATGGGAGGGCAGGATAAACTGAGAACACTTAATTGAATTGGGATCAAGAACACCAGGCAACAGGACATGAACATACTATTTGTTTGGTCAGAGTACGATCTCTGATGTAGCTTTTCAGGTGGAATGCATGTGATTTTTCTTGTTTGGAGAGACTGTGGTGGGAAGAGGCACAGCTGAATATTTCTGCATCCACCTTGTACTGCATTTGTATTGCTTTCAGGTGGTCCAAGGGGAACATGTTCCTACAACAGGGACCTGTTTCTTCTGTAACTGAGACCACCCACACCCTTACCTTCAGTAGCAGTTTCTGAATTTCTTGTGTGTCAGCCTCCACACATGCAATATGATGAAGCCCCAGTTGATGTCAGTAACCTTAATACAGCCCAAATTGCTATGTGATTTGAAAGTATTGTACATCTGAGTGCAGCAACATGAAGTAAACATTGGTGAGCCCAGGAAGAGCATCTTGCTGAGGCTTGTGGGATACTAGAGGATGCTTCAAAGAGAGCTGATGTCCTACATTGTTAAATATTTTTACACAGTGCTTTAAAGACAAGAATCATTGATGCTTCAAAGAGAGCTGATGTCCTACATTGTTAAATATTTTTACACAGTGCCTTAAAGACAAGAATCATTCTTTTTGTAATGCTTGCATCATTCCAGAAAATTATGGCCCTCTTTCATGATGGCAGTTCTTGGATGATATGGTAATACCAGTAAGAATAATCACAGCAATCTACCTACATTTGAGAAATTCAAAGAATAGTCAATGGAAATGTATAAAGTAGCAGCAGGAAATATGAGTAGAATCAAATTTATCTTGGAAGGCAAAAAAGAAAATTTGTGACTAAGGAGTACCCAGTAGTATGTTTTGGGAGTAGCTTCAGAGAAATAGGAGCAAATCTACTACATTAGTAATTTACATTTAGGCTAGGCAAACTAGACAAGGTTTTACTGCCAAGCTGAAAAATCCAGGCAGAGGATACATAATTTAATAGGAATTTCTGAAATTCTAAGATAAACTACTGTAGTATTTTCATTCAACAGTGAATATTCAGAAAATCGCTGCAGTTCATAATTCTGTCTATATACCACCATATCAGGATCAGTGCTTTAAAAAAATTTAAGTAAATGAGACATAAGAGGGGACTTTTATACATAACATGATTTACTCATACTTTGGTGTGTAAACATTATAAATATCCTACAGCTATATAGAACTTCTGTAACAGATGGGCTGTCATCTTTCTGAATTTCGTTGGGTTTGGTAGCTTAAGTTATAACCTTAATATTGTGTTAATATGAATTACCTATTGAATTCACATCTACATTGAACTAATGAGATTTTCAGGCAAGCAGTGTTTAAATTGGATTTAAGGGAAATAAGTGCTGGGAATAAGGGAATACCACCGAGAACATTATTATAGAATCGTCGCTAGTACTTTGAATTTTATTTTAAACATTAAATAACCAGCGCACAACAAACTTCATGATTAGAAAGTAATAGAACAAATATCTTGGTTTAGTTGGAAAATTGTAATCTATATGTAATACCACTGAAGAGGATATAATTTAAAAAAATCTGAATACTTAAGAGTCTGTCAACATGAAGTGTTAAAAGTGAGTATTCATTGGGTAAAGTGAGTATTCATTGAGTAAATGAGCAGATGGTGGTTACTCAAGCTCTAAAATTCACTTTAAAGCATCTCTCAGGCAGTTTTGTGAGTATGCTTCATGACTAAGTGAAAGTAAATGTGGGTTTATACCAAAGGTTCTTTGTGCTTTACTGTTTGTTTGGCTTATTGGCCTACATAGACATTCTGTTACGTGTTGGCATTGCCTTTATCTGTGTTTCATCCTATGGTATAGGTACCTTCTACTAGAGCTGCTTCTCTGGTTCTTTTTGCTTTACAGTAGCCTATCTTATAGACTAGAAAAATACTTAGTACCTCTTATAATAAGCTTGCTGGTGGGCATCTGATCCAATAACGGCAAAGTGTACCAATAA